AAATTGCCACGTAAGCCGAAAAGTGGTAAAAAATTAATTAAAAAATAAGTTCGGGGGGGGGGGGGTAATAGGACCTTAGTAAAGGTTAGGTGTGTCTTAGGGATTTTGGGCATAGGCTGGGGGGGTACTTATGCATTTTCCCAATTAAATTCGTCAGTAATTTAGTTTATTAATTAGTATCTGTAATCTTAACATGGAGAATTACATAAGTGTTTAATGAGGAATTTCGAAATATAAATAGAGGAGTGCAATTACGAATTTCTAGTGGAATGATTTGTAATTTATTATGGTAAGAATAAATTCAAATTAATTATTTGGAATTATTTCCATAATAGGAACCCTCAGTAATTAATTATGTGGTCCCTACGGTGCCCATATTTAAGTAGAACTCAGAATCCTATTTCTAAAGGGAAAAGGGGAGACAAATGTGTTTTTTCTTATAAAAAGAAAACAGACGTGTATTCTTTCTGGTTGAAGTAAATAGACTGTGTTTTGTTCTCCTCTTTGGATTGGGAAGAAAACTCTATAATTAGGGATTCTTCTAACCCTAGAAAGATTGATTAGTTTTCTATTCGATACTTGTCCACCCAAGTATTGTGAGAGTTCGGATGTGAACTTGGGATCACCGTAGAAGACTGCAAAATTATTGTCTATCTCGTGGAGCTTGAAGGTCTATTCTAACTTGTGGATTTGCTTGAAGGTATCTTCTCACGCTTCAAGAAGTAATTCTTGAATTAAATTTCAGCAAGTGTATGTGTTCTAGCGTATTATATGTGTTCTAGCATAAACGGTATTTGTTATCTATTATTCATGTAAGCAGTAAGATTCTAGTATGTTTCCGCTTTGCATATAGTTTTCCAACAATAATAACTTACAAAATTTTAGATCATAAATTAGGGAAGTGCTAAATGGCCAGAATTATGTGGCCATAATTTGGCCAGAATTGTAACAAGACTAATTTAACCTTGTTCCCTTCCAAAGTAAAGTCAAGTATTTATTACTACTATTTCCTAAACTTCTACGTGTGAACAATAATTATTATGTTTAATGAGTTAGAATTATTATTAATTGTGTGAAGGAAATTATTCAATGGACTTTATAATGTGGGTCCCATTACAATCTAACTTCACCTTCTTTTAATTCTTCCTAATTCAGTCTTTCTTTGATCCTTTTTCTTAATCGTTTTTGTCATCCTTTCTCTTTTCTTTTCCATTACATGAAACATTAAATTATATAAATTCTAATTCCATAAGATATTTTTGGATACAGTTTATCATGATTTTCTAGTCTTGAACTTGTAAAATAAGTTAACATTTATTTATTTCTATTATATACAAATCATCGAATTCTAAAATCAAGCACACAAAAAATATATTCGTTAATATCTAACTTCATAACACAAAATTTGTTGGGGATAATATTGCATTTGTTTTCTTTATTTTAATTTCATTATAGTATACTTAATACACTATCATTAATATTAAAAAATAATATAATTTGATTGTTTTTTTTCTTCACTAATATACTGATTTGAATATTCTATTTAATAATCATCTTTTAAAAAATGAATAAACTATTTTTTTAGGATAAACTTTAAAGATTATTCTTTATAGATAATAACAAATCTTTTTTTTAATAACGTTTGTACTTTTATGTGTTAAATAGAGAAAGATAAGTTTCATGTGATAAATTTAGGGAAAAGGTAGAAGTACCTCCCTAGACTATGACCCAATTCCAGAGACACACCTTAACTAAACTAAGGTCCTATTACTCCCCTGAACTCATTTTTTTTTGTAATTTTTTACACCTTTTTAGCTTACGTGGCATCCAAATATCTCCCACGCGCCTCAACTGCGTGGAGTCACGGGGTGTGCCACATAAGCCAAAAGTGTACAACATTATTGTAACATCTCGCAAATTGAAATATCTAGGAAGAAGCTAATAAATGGAAATAGTCATTTTTGGAAAGAATGAAAATCTGGAAATTTGTCTAAAGTTAAGAAAAGTTGAGTTTTGGCCAACTTCAAATGGTCATAACATCTAGCTCAGGATGAGTTAGAGGTACTTCCAGATATGGTAGGAAAGATCTTGGAATGATATTTCCAACGCCGCTGAGTTTGCGCGATTCTGAGTTCGTATGAGTGAGTTATGCCCTTTGGAAATTGGGTTGTTCAAATAAGGAAATGTCCAATCCGGATTTTTGAAGGGTATTTCAGTCTTTTCCTTATCCAATTAATTTAGTTGTTTTAGTGAATTTGTTAAGGGTCAAATCAGAATGAGATCAGTTTAGGCAATTGGAAATTCACGCTAGGGCTTGGAGAACAGAGAAAAGAGGAGAAAGGAGAAGAAAAGCTCAAGGTTCGCCAAGAACGATCGATTTTGGTTATGGATTCACCAAGGAATTCATCTTACAAGGTATGTGAGTCTTTCATAGCGTTGGGTCATTCACCCACGCGCCAAACATGTTTAGTTTATCGAAATTTGTCCTAAAAGAGTTTGAAAGTTGATGTTCTTGACATGTATTCTTAAATTTGAATGTCGTTCTTGAATTGGGCTGAATTGAGGAGTTTCAGAGATCTTTACGTTGAGTTTTAGAGGTGTTTTGAGTTAGGTTCTTGAGTAGATATGCTGGGTATCAGAATCTAAAATGAATTTGAGATCAATAGTCGAGTTTAGGCTAATTGGGGCTGTAAAACGGAGAAGGAAAAAGTCGAGCGTGATTTGGCACGCAAGTTCGAGTTGCGGACTTGCTCCCCCAGTGTACAAAAAGTTGCTCCGCGTCGCGGTTAGGACGCGGACTTCTCTTCCTCAAAATTTAATTTCGCGAGTAATTATTTAAAACACCTCCGCGTCGCGAACTTTTTCCAAGACGGTGCTTTCGTGACTTTTCTCATGTTTAGCTATTTAAGATCATTCCTAAACATCATATGATGCTTCCTATTACAAATCAAAATCCTTGAATCCATAATACAATTCAAGGACCAGTTAAGAGTCAAGTCAAGAGCAGTTAAGATCAAAGTCTAGAGAAGTTCTTAAAGTTTTTCAAAAGTCTTTTGCAAACGTATTAACTTTGTTTTAAGACTTAAGTTTTGAGTTCAGTAAATAGTAAAGCTTGAAGTTCATTTCTTCAAAAGTATATGGGGACTATGTATTCCCAAAGGGTTTAAAATGTTCACATTTAAACAAGAAAGGAAACCTCGATTTCCAAAGAGCCTTCGGGGATGTTTTCAGAAAAGAGTATTCGCTTTCTAAATGAAGCAATAGGGGAAACTTTGATTTCCAAGATAGCCTTTGAGCTAAGTTTTTGAGCAATAATCTCAAATCAAAGAAGAAGTATGTATTTTAAACATAAAGAGCTAGTATCATATTTTAGGAGTAGTATTGAGCACTGATATGAGGGAGCGTTTAGAGAACCCTTAGCCCCCATAAACCATGTAGCCATCATGGGTAGAAAAGGGTCATACTTTTTAGATGAACCCTTAGTGATTTTTAGCATAGACTAGTGGATCCACTTAGTAGTTCAGGTTATATACCCTCGGCAAGGTATAGGATGGCCCTGGCAGCGTGGGGCCAAGAAACACTATATCATCACTATAGCTTTTAAGTGATGGTTGTCGGTTAGAGAAACTCCCACAACATTATTTTATATATTTATATACATCAGAAATATTTATATTTTCATGTACAAACAGAGTTCATATTGTATCTTTGCATACATACAGAGTTATTATTGTATTTCTAAATACACATAGTTGACATCATGTTTTAACCAACTTTTCTTTATATTGCACTTGTTTTAAACTGCTTTATATTGAAATGAGTTCAGTTATGTTGAGTTGAGTTGAGCCAGGTAAGTTCTTCAGATTCCTTTCAAGCCTATGTTGTATTTAGCATTCCAACTCGCATACTCGAACATTCAATGTACTGATGCCAGTTGGCCTGCATCTTATTATGATGCAGACGCATGTAACCAGGTTCAGCATCCAGTGCATCGTTGATCTAGTTGAGCTTTAGAGTTGTTGGTGAGCCTCTTTGCTTCCAGAGGATTCCCTTTTTTCATTACTTTACCATTTTAGTTCATTAGGATGTTGTGGGCCTGTCTTGACATCCATATCAGTTGTTTTAGAGGCTTCATAGATAGTCAGTCAAATGTTAGTTCATTCGTCATCATTTTGTTATTGGCTTATGTTCAGATTTGAGTTGCCACTTTGGCTAAGTTAAATGTTTATTTTCTTAAAATATTATGAGTTTAGTTTTGAGACATGTTGAGTTATCTTGTTTTTGGATTCTCTTTCTTATGTCTAAGTCTTCCGCTGAGTAAGTAAACCAGGCCAAGGGTTCGCTTGGGGCTAGCAATGGTTCTCGAGTGCCAGTCCCCCAGGGTGTAGGCTCAGGGCGTGACAAATTTGGTATCAAATCCCAAGGTTCAAGAGTCCTAGAGAGTCTATGTAGCCGTGTCTGTAGAGTCCTAGTTATCGGTGTGAAGCGCGCCACATCTATAATTAGGAAGCTACAACACTTAGGAAAATTCTCACTTCTTTCACACTCATTTCGTGCGTTAGAGTTTGATCTCTAAAAAGTTTCTCTCTAATTCGTGCTTGCGCGTGTTTTCAGATAATCATGCCTCCACGAAGAGCTGTCTGAGGTCGTCATGCTAGGAGAAATGTCGAGGAACAAGGGGTACCTAATGCACCAGAAGTGCAACCCTAAGGAGAGGTCATCAATGCTGAATTCTGTGAAGCTATTCAGATGTTAAGTCAAGTTGTGACCCATCAAAATGGACAAAGAGATAATCGACAGGATGTGGCTGATACTTCAAGGATCCGTGATTTTTTAAGGATGAACCCACCAAGATTCACAGGTTCAAGTGTCACAGAGGATCCAGAGAACTTTGTTGAAAAGCTTCATAAATTTTTTGAGATTTTGCATGTTGTAGATGCTGAGAGGGTGGAACTAGCTGCATACCAAATGAAGGGTGTCGCTAGAATCTGGTTTGACCAATGGAAAAAGAATATGGCTGGGATGCGCTAATAGTGAGTTGGGCTGTGTTTGAGATTGCTCTCATGGGACGTTTCTTTCCCCATGAGTTGAGAAAGGGAAAGATAAGAGAGTTTCTCACCCTTAATCCGGAGTCTTTGAGTGTTCATGAGTACAGTCTGAAGTTCGCACAACTTTCCTGCTATGCCCTAGAAATGGTTGTTGACATGAGGAGCATGATTAGTTTATTTGTTGCTGGGTTGTCTCGTCAGTCAAGCAAGGAAGGCAAGGCAAAGATGTTGATAGGGGATATGAACATAGCAAGGCTAATGATCCATTTGCAACAAGTTGAGGAGGATAAGCGGAAGGATCAAAAAGAGTTTAAGAATAAGAGGGCTAAGACATCAGGGAACGAGTTCAGGTAGCAAAAAAGTAGTGCGAACTGGTCTTCCTTCCAACAGAAACAAAAGGACCTGCCCCATCATCTACTAGTGCACATGTACTTAAGAACAAAAGTGAGTATAATAGTCAGAATTCCCAGAGTTTCAGAGCTAAACCTGCCTATTCTCAAGGCAGTATGGCACAAAGGGGTAGTAAGCCTCCTGCATGTGCTAAGTGTGGCAGAAACCACTCAGATATTTGTCGTGAGGGATCTACTGGTTGTTTTATGTATGGTCAGAACGGTCATTTTATGAGGGAGTGTCCTGAAAACATGCAAGGTAATGGTAATAGGGGCAATAGGGCCCAACTTTCTTCAATTGCTCCACCAGACAGAGCTGCACCTCGAGGAGCTACTTCAGGTACTGGCGGGGAAACAAACCACTTATATGTTATCAACAGTCGCCAAGAGCAAGAGGATTCACCAAATGTTGTCACTGGTATGATCCAAGTCTTTGCTTTTGATGTTTGTGCTTTGCTAGACTAAGGAGCAAGTTTATATTTTGTAAATCCTTATGTTGCTTTGAATTTTGATGTTATTCCTGAGAAACTTAGTGAACCATTCAGTGTTTCTACACCTGTTGGTGAGTCAATTATAGTAGAGAGAGAGTCTATCGTGATTGTCCCATTTTTGTCAATCACAAGAGTACCATGGCTAATTTATTTGAGTTAGACACGATAGATTTTGATGTCATTCTTGGTATGGATTGACTTCATGCCTGTTATACCTCAGTCGATTGTAGAACTCGATTCGTCAGATTTTAGTTTCCAAATGAGCCAGTCTTAGAGTGGAAAAGCAATTAAGCATTGCCTGAAGGTCGTTTCATTTCGTACCTTAAGGCAAGGAAGTTAGTTTCTAAGGGGTGTGTCTATCACTTAGTCCGAGTTAATGACTTTAGTGTTGAGATTCCTCTTATTCAGTCAGTTTCAGTAGTACGAGAGTTTCCAAAAGTCTTTTCTGATGATCTTCTCGGAGTCCCTCCTAAAAATGAGATAGACTTCAGTATAGACTTTCTTCCAGATACTCGTACTATAGCTATTCTGCCATATAGAATGGCACCAACAGAGTTAAAAGAGTTGAAAGAGCAGTTGAAAAAAAGGAATGTGATATTCCAAAGACAGCTTTTAGGACCCGTTATGGTCATTATGAGTTTTTGTTCATATCCCTTGGTTTGACCAATGCACCAGCATCGTTCATAGACCTTATGAATAGAGTCTTCAAACCTTATTTAGATATGTTTGTTATCGTCTTCATTGATGACATACTAATCTATTCAAGGAATGAAGAAGATCATGCTAGCCATCTCAGAATAGTTCTTCAGAATTTAAAATATAGAGAGTTGTATGCCAAGTTTTCTAAGTGTGAGTTTTGGCTCAAGCCCGTGGCATTTTTAGGCCACATTGTGTGTGAAGAGGGAATTAGAGTTGACACTCTGAAGATAGAGGCAGCGCAGAGTTGGCGTAGACCCACATCTCCAACTGATATTAAGCGTTTCTTGGGTTTGGCTGGATATTATAGAAGGTTTGTAGAGAGGTTCTCGTCCATTTTCGTCTCCTTTGACCAGATAGACTCAGAAGACAATTAAGTTTCAATGGTATGAGGCTTGTGAGAAAAGCTTTCAGGAATTGAAAAAGAGGTTGACTACTGCCCCAGTTTTGACCTTACCAGAAGGTATGCAAGGCTTTGTTGTTTATTGTGATACATCTAGAGTTGGTTTGGGTTGTGTGTTAATGCAGAATGACAAAGTTATAGCTTATGCCTCCAGACAGTTAAAAGTTCATGAGAAAAACTACCCAACCCATGACTTAGAGTTGGCTGCTGTAGTATTCATTTTGAAGATATGTCGTCATTATTTGTATGGTGTTCATGTGGATGTGTTCATCTATCACAAGTCTTCAGTATGTGTTTAGTAAAAAAAAACTTAATCTTAGACAGAAAAGGTGGTTAGAGTTACTCAAAGATTATGACATGAGTATTCTTTATCACCAAGTAATGCTAATGTTGTTGATGATGCCTTAAATAGGTTGTCTATGGGTAGTACCACCCATGTTGAGGAAGAAAAGAGAGAGTTAGAGAAAGATGTGCATGTATTTGCACGCCTGGGAGTCAGACTTATGGATTCTATAGAAGGAGGAGTGGTGGTGACGAATGGGGATGAATCATCATTAGTGTCAGAAGTAAAAGGCAAGCAAGACCAAGACCCCATTTTGCTGAATTGAAGGCAAATGTTCATAAGCAATAAGTAATGGCTTTTGAACAAGAGGGAGATGGTGTGTTGAGGTATCAAGGCAGATTGTGTGTACCAATGGAGGATGGACTCCAAGAGAGGTTGAAAACGGCGCAGAGTCCTCATAAATCCTACACTAATGTTTGGAGAAGAAAGTTAGAGTTTGAAGTTGATGATTGAGTGTTTTTAAAGGTTTCACCCATGAAGGGTGTTATGAGATTTGGTAAGAAGGGAAAACTTAGTCCCAGCTATATTGACCCTTACAGAATATCGAAAAGGGTAGGTAATGTAGCTTATGAGTTGGAGCTACCACAAGAGTTAGCGGCGGTTCATATGGTGTTTCACATCTCCATGTTGAAGAAGTGCATGGGTGATCTTTTGTTGATTATACCAATCAAAGATATTGAGATCAAAGATAGCTTGTCTTATGAAGAGATTCTTGTTCAGATTCTAGATTACCAAGTTCGCAAGTTGAGAACAAAAGAGGTAGCATCAGTCAAAGTTCCTTGGAGAAACCAGTTTGTTAAGGAAGTTACTTGAGGAGCTAAGGAAGATATGAATAAGAGATACCCACATCTCTTCGAATCCAGAGAAGTTTCGGATTAAGGTACTAATCCGTTCTTAGTATTTATTTTTAAGTTGGCATGTTGTTTTGCATTTGCTCGTGGGTGCTTAAACTGAATATTAAATGTTCACCCTTAGCCTAGTAAGAGTAATCTCATTCGAGGATGAATGTTCCCAAGGGGGATATATTGTAACATCTCGCAAATTAAAATAACTAGGAAAAAGATAATTGTCACGCCCCGAGCTACCCCCGAGACGCGGACACGGGACCTAGGACCACAAGTGATCCCAAGCTAACCCTGCTGGCATGATCATGAGCATACTAAAGATAATAAACTGATGCGGAAGCTAAATCATACATAAGATGAAAAGATGGGGAATACCCATATACTATAACTGAGATAAATGAAAACTGATGAGTTTAATACAAGGAAGATATTAACTCAATACTAAGCTGAATCTATCTATATTTGAAATATGCCTCTAAACTGACTAGAATTGTTGGGACATGCCCCAACTAGATCTAGCAAAACTGAAACTAAAGACTAAAAGCGATAAAGATAAACATGTCACTAGTCCTCGAAGAATGAGGACTCACTACTGATGTTGATAAACTGGAGATCGGTAACCGATCTAAGCGTAATCTGGATACAGAGAACCTGAACCTATATCACAAGAAGACGTAGCGCACGTATGTGTCAGTACTTGAAAGATACTGAGCATGCAGGATAGAGTAAAGTTGAAATAACATATAACTGAACAAAGCAATAAAGCAATGAAATAATCTAAACATAATATAGATACTGAATACTGAGCTAACTGAATGCAATGACCAATTTGTAACATGTGGAGACTAAATATTGGTTGTACTGAAATATGGTCAATGCAATAGAGTCTGACTGAACTGTGGGAGCGACTAATAACTGACATAAAACCACATGAGCTAAATGTGGAGTCCGATGTATACGCCCCATCGAGAGGATCCAATATAACCGGCCAAAGGTATAGAGGCATGACTGGCGTGATAACTAAGCTGATGTTACCCACAGAGGGGACTTACACCTACGTGGCTTGTAGTTCTGGGACTATATGGGTACGCTGAACCCTAGTCCAACTCGGTATTATGCTACTCCCAATGAATTAAGTAGTTAACTGGTTATGACTGAATTTCTGTAAATACTGGATAGCTCGAAACTGAACATGCAAACTGAGAATGCAACAATTAATCTGATAATGATGCATTCATAAACTGAGGCATGTATAACTGAATATATTATGACTGAAATACTGAATAGCTCAAAATACTGACATGTAGATACTCATACTTGAAAACTCCTTTTTAGAAAACAATTCAACATCATATTATACTCTGATCATTGATGACTTGGGAAGTCATACTGCATAAACATTGATAGTATATCTAGATACCATACTATTCATACATTGATGACCTACTCAATTGTCATACTAATCATGTTTTAGAAGCTCTTTCTCAAAACTCATCTTAACTTTCTCAAAAACTCAGTTTAAAACTCAAGTGTTGTCTTAAAGAAAAGCTTCTCAAGATTTATAACTCAAAATAGGGTTTATGCTGAAATATACTGATAATGTGGCATAAAACTGGAGCATGTATATCTGAATAACTGAAATATCTGACCTAACATGTGTAATTCAAGAACTAATGAAATACATAGCTAGGGATCTGAAATTTATGTAAGAAACTGAGCAATAACATGATAATATGATTTGGAGCATTTAAATAACAAATTCATGATGATCTGTTGAAATTTTAGAAACCCTAGGTCTGTTCATAACCATGGAATCAAGAATTTGACTGAATTCTAGGGACCTCATGGGTGAAAGGAACCCACTAGTAAAATCCCACATACCCGGTGACGAATTTCACGAAGAAATCCTTTGATTTCTGGGCTGGAACTGAAGAAAACTTGTTGCGTTCTTGAACTAGGATTCTTGACCTTTTTCTCCTCTCTTGATTCTAATTTTCTAAGATTTTGATTAATGAATTGACTTGGATAAGTTCTAGTTATATTTCTAGGCTTAAACTGATTAAAACCTCATGATTTAGGGTTTAAACGACGTATCTTAGGGGTTAAACGAAATAGGAAAAGACCAAAAGACCCCTGACTTAACTGTTGTCGGAGTGACTGACGGGCCGTTATTCAATCGACAGTCCGTCGATTGGAACCGTCGGTCGAGTCGGCCCGACAGGGCTTCACTAAAACGGGTATAACTTTTTACTCGGAGGTCAAAATTTAGCAAATTCGGTGGCGTTGGAAAGAAGATTAAATTATCTATCTTAAAATAGGTCATGGGACACAGAATTCCTTTTGTACTAAGAGTTATGACCATCTGAACTTGACCCAACAATAATTTTCATCTAATTGGCTGCTACCTTTACCTACGGTCAGACCTACGGACCGTGCATCGAATGATGGTCCATGTTGGTCAACCGTCAATAGGGAATGAAGTTGGGCTTTAGTGGCATTGATCCACGGACACGAACCACGGTTCGTGACCTGACCTACGGACCGTAGGTCCGGCCGTGGGTCAATACTTGGCCTAATTTCTTGCTGAGTTCTGGGGAGTTTGGTTACACGAACCACAGACCTGCAGGACAGACTGTGGGTCCTCCTACGGTCCATGGATGGTGCTCGTGAGTTCCACCTGTAATATA